GTTAATATGATTTGTTAGTCTAGTGACTGAATTTGCATAATAATAAGCAATCATAAAATGGCAGAGTCTAGCTCCCCTATTCTTTTTAAGTATTTCTATTCGCTGCTCAGGTTGTTAAATGCTTTCTAATTATTTTTGTTCGATAGTATTCACAATAAAATTGTAAAATAGGTCAATATCAAACTCATAGCAATCTAAACTTCTCAAAGGTACTATATAATTAAACTTTTATATTCCTTCAAGGTAGAACAGAGGCTAGATTGAAAAATACTGGAAGAAAAAAATTGGTACTGTCACTTTACAAATTTGTACAGAAGTACTGGGACATTTCAAAGGACTACAAACAGTAGTACTGAACAGGAGTGAGCAGATGAGTTCTAAACCTTTAGGATGAAGTTCACCTTATAGCTTCAGGTAGAGCAAATACTGATCCAAAGTCAGGAACCCCAGAGCACTATGCATACAAATTTACATTGCAAGAAGAATTCCTTTTTTTTTTTTTCCAAACGTTTTATTTATTTCTGAGAGAGAGAGAGACAGCATGAGGAGGGGAGGGTCAGAGAGGGAGAGGGAGACACAGAATACGAAGCAGGCTCCAGGCTCCCAGCTAGCTGTCAGCACAGAGCCCAATGCGGGGCTCAAACCCATGAACAGTGAGATCATGACCTGAGCCAAAGTGGGACACTCAACCGACTGAGCCACCCAGGCGCCCCTGCAAGAAGAATTCCTAAAACAAAATTCTAGGCCCAGTCACCTTTACAATTAAAATGATTTAGCTTTCCTATCCAGACCCTGAAACTGTCTCCAATCCACTTCCCCACTAATTCTGCTTCTTCTTCGACCATGTGTTTCTGACTTCAACTCTTAGTATTAACTTTCCCAAATAGCATCTGGGTTTAGACCTATATCACTTTCTCTAAGCATTACTCCATTTAACTACACATCAATTTTGAAATTGCCCCACACTTTGGCTTCTAAAACATCTCCTTATATGTTTGTCTTCAGTTTCTCTTTTGGTTTTATGGTTTGTCACAAACTCCTTTTATGCCACTTGATTTTGATGGGCTATTCTTCTGCAGGTTGGTATGTTTTGATTCTCTCCTCTCCCTACTCTATGCTCTTCTGAGGTGATCTGATCAACCATAAGAGCTTTAAGCTGCGCTTCTGCTCTAAAACCTTTCACGTGTTTCTTTCTCCAATCTGGATATTTCTTCTGAGCTGACACATATATCCCTGATGCCTATTAAACATATCCAGTCGATATTGCATAGGCATGGTAAACCTTAGGTATCAGAAAACTACTGCTTCAAATGTTTCTCATTCTGAATCTTGGTAAAAGGAATCCTCATCTACCTAGGCAACTAAGCCAATAAGCATAGAGTCATTCTAGAATGTTCTCTACTTCACTTCCCACATTCAATAAAACTTTATTTCTTCAAAATATTTGAGAAACTACAATGTACCAGATATTAAGCCAGGTGCTGGACATACCTCAGTAATCAAGGTAGATATCATTCTTATAGTCATAGAATTTACATCCAAATGGGATGTATAAAGAGGCTATTCATACTATAGTCTATGTGAAAGACACTCCCAGGAGTTTGGCAATATACAACCTATGGAGCTAAATAGGGTGGCCCCACAGATACAATGTCAAAAGAACAAAAGTAACATGTTCATTTTTTTTTATATTCCTACATTGCTTTCTTCCTGGAATGCCACAATAGTTCTATAACCAGTTTTGTATCTTTTTTATACTTCCTAGTCCCTATCCTGTTTACCTTGTTTATGTAGACAAGAAAATCTTTCTAAAATCCAAGCTGACCACAACTTTATCATGCTATACTTACCTATGGGATACAATCCAAAGTACTTGAAGTAGCCTATAAAGCCCTTATTGATGGAGCCACCTTATAGTCCATTTCTCCACACTTATTCTCTACTGTGGCCATGCTAAGCTCCTTGCAAATCTCTATGACACGTATGCTCTCCTATGGTTCTATGCTTCCAAACATGTTCTACCATAAATTATCTTCCCCATCTAAATAACTTCTACTTACACTTTGCATTCATCCCCTAGCATCAATCTCTCTCCAAAGTTTCCTGAAAAATCATTATAGACCTGGAGCACCTGGGTGGCTCAGTCAGTTAAGCCTCCGACTTTGGCTCAGGTCATGATCTCACGGTTCGTGGGCTCGAGCCCTGTGTCGGGCTCTGTGCTGGCAGCTAGCTCAGAGCCTGGAGCCTGCTTCAGATTCTGTGTCTCCCTCTCTCTCTGACCCTCCCCTGCTCATGCTGTCTCTCTCTCTCTCCCTCTCTCAGAAATAAATAGAACATTAAAAAATTTAAAAAACAGGATCACTATAGTCCCATGGGTGCCCTACCTTTCTTCTCTCATTTCATCCTGCATTATGCCCATCATATTACTTATGGCATCTGATTATAATCATAGGTTTGTCTTTCCTTCCTGCTAGACTTTAAGGTTTTGAGGGGCTAGGATCCTAGTTTGCTCACTTCCATGTTTTTGCTTCCTATAACAATGCCTTGCATGTAGAAGTCTCTTAGTAAATATTTGGTGAATCAATTAATTGGTGGCAAATAGTCTATCTTGAATAATGATACTGGGTTCTTTCTCAAATATCATGTTATGAAGTCCTACCTAGCTCCAAAAATACAACAGTTCCCCAACCTATGAGACCAACTCATCTTCCCTGGGCATTCCAGGGCCTTCACAATGTCCAACAGGAGATCCCTTCTGGAAAAAAAAAATAGTAATCTTACATTTCCTTCAAAATTCAAGATTTACTTTCTCTAGGAATCCCTCTTTATTACTTCAATAAAAATAGTATTTTCTTACTTTGACCTCCCAATATTTTAACACAGGTGTAGACACTTGTCTATGCTTTTACTAAGAAACGTTTCTATGTATATGTACCCTTTTGTACCAAAATTATTTATCAAAGGTCTTATGAATAAAGACTTTTCTATCTTTGAGTTGTCTCTGCTACCTGCTCCATTAATGCAAGTATGATGGATATTTAATACAGCCGTTTATCCTTGAAGAAACGAATAAAGAGTCTCTCTGGATTCTGCTCTCAAAGTGCTCCAAAACTGTCTCACAAATTCAATTATTTTCTATCTTTATCTTATTTAATATAAGTATAAATATATTTAATATATCATCAGAGCTGACCATTCTTTATTGAAAGGTATACCACCCTTAGCTTCCAATCATTATACCCCTCTGATCATTTTTCTGCCTCTCTGGCTATTCCTCAGTCAGCCCTTGAAACTGTTCTTCCTTCACCAAACCAGTAAACTTCAGGCTCCTCAGGGAGGTCTCCTCACCAGGCCCATTTCTCATCTTACTCCTCACTTACACCCCAAACAATCTGTGCTTCTTACAACTTCATTTTAATAGAGTAGAAAAGTAACTTCACTGTTTAAAATGTGCAATAATATGTTTCCAAGGAGCATAGTTCCTATCAGTATAATTAATAAAGGGATAAGGAACAGAAAAGCAAACCACTGAGTAATTTTAGAAAAATATTCAACAGATACATAGCATAAAAAGGACATTCATAATTATTTAAGTTTTATAAAGACTGGACTGATATTGTAGATGGCCAGAGAACTTAAAGGCTATTTTCTTCTGTAAAATGTAACCTTGTGAATACAAAATCATTTGTGTTTGAATGATATGGCTTTAAACCATAGGGTAGAACATTTGCACATTTATCTCAGTAAAAGTTGCAGCAGCCTCCCTTAGGCAGAAGTGTTTAAGTGTCTGATGATGTACAGTGACTTGCTTAAAAGAAGATAAAATAACATACCCTCAGGCAAGCAAGAGGATTTGAATAGAGCCAATTTAGGAAGTACAGTGCCTCAGTAAATTCAGAAATTAATCCAAATTGAGACATTTCGCCATGTCGAAAGATCAGTTCTTTAACTCTAATTTATAAGGAGTCAAATGTATATTGCATAAAAATCCTCATGCATTCAAAAGTATACCTTCAAAAATTACAGAGCGAAAAATCACCAGCATGCATTATTTCAAATTGGTAGAAATCTAAAGTTATTTTTTTTAAATAAATAAATCAGGACAAACTGATGGTTACAGAGGGGAAGTGGATGGGAAGATGGGTGAAATAGGTAATGGGGAGTAAGGAGTGCACTAGTGATGAGCACCAGGTATTAAATGGAAGTGCTGAATCACTTTATTGTACTCTTGCAAATAATATTAAACTGTATGTTAAATGGTATTTAAATAAAAACCAAAAAAGAATTGGAAGTATTTCTGAAAATGGGTCTGAAGATAGAGATAAAAAGAGAAGGACCAAAAAATAAAAATAAAATAATAAATCAGTTGGGAATGGGGAGGATTATAATTTATTTTAATATAAATAATCTAGAAATTTAGATATGTCTGAAACATATTCTGTCTTTTGTATAATACGGCTTGTGATACATTATGCGTTGCAGTAATTATTTAATTTCATCTAGAACACTGACACAGCTCTCCCGGATATGAGGAGTAACTTACTGACTGAAGTCCCTGGTCTCTAAAGCAAACTTGAGAGTCTAATTGAAACTTTATTACTGTGTAGACCTATCCAATCTAGTAGAAACTAGATAGTGCTTTTTAAAATCCGTAGTTGTGCTCTGAGAGCTAAATTTTCACATCTGAGCTCAACAAACTCCTAGGGACAGTTCCATAAGAAGATTATATGAAGGAGTAACATTTAATCAAGTGATTTCACCACGTATGAGAACAGAGCAACAGTTTTGTCTGAACACTATTCATTTCGCTCACTGTTATTCCTGAAAATTATTGCTCATGTGGACACACAACTTCTCTGGTTCTATATTTCTTGGCAGCAAATTGGGGTTTGTCTAAAATATTTTTAGCAAAAATAATCTTCATCTCTTGTGTAAGCATGTGTTTCTTTCTGACCTTCATGACAAACTCAGAAACTCTGAAAATCATAATGTGACCTTACCTTGCTTCCATTTTCTCTCGTCTCTTGTTCCATCTTGAGGTCAGAAATTAGAAGATTCTTATATTTGCTTTTTCCATTACTGCTGTGGTCATCTATTGTGTATTCTGAAGTCAGCTGAGCTGAGAGGGGACTGTCACTCAGGTTCAGTGGCTGCTCATCCTGCTCCAGCCCAGTTTTGCCATCACCATTGGAGTCACCCATCTCCCTGCTGTGTGCTCCCCCTGAAGCAACTGAACTGTGCCCCAGAGTCTCATTGCCATTAAAGCTCTCTGCAGCAGAATCATCTGTTGGAAAGAATATTTTGATTTTAATTAACGTGCCAGTTCAGTTTCTACTTCAACTCACATTTACTGAACTCCTATTATGTGCTTGACATTGTGCTAATTTTACAGATCCTGCGAAATTTATCCTTAGCAATAACTTGTGAAGCAGCCATTGTTATTTGTAGTCTAGTAGGCACATTTACGCACAAGAAGAACTGAAATAAGAAGAAGATAAAATAGGGAAAATAGCTCGATCTCAAATGCAATCTCAAAGAAAAGTAAATTTAAACAAAGAAAACTTGTTCCTTGTTTTGCAGATATTTTTTGTTTTTCAAGTGAGAATGTTCAGATTTGGTGAAAATTCTCTGATAAAAGCATTGTCTATACACTAGCAGGGTATATGTTGGTCCGACAGTTATAAGTGTTTAGTATACATCTAACACGTTAAAAGTGCTCATAACTTTTTCTCCAGTCATTACACTTCTGGGACTTCTAAACCTAAACAGAACAATCATTGTATGCGTTTCTGTGCAGGTAAAAAGGCCTTTACAAAGTGTTGCTTACAATAGCAAATGTTTAGAAGTGACAGAAATTACCAGAAATAAAAGATTGGCTTAATATATGTTGGAATGATTAGAATATGGGAAATGTGGAATATGGGAGGGAGAATAGTGAAAAATGTAGTGTTAAATGTTAATATTAATTTCTTCTTAACTGTGTGGCACTGGATATTTTAATACTCTTTAATATTTACTATATATATATATATATATATATATATATATATATATGATTTACGAAGAAAACACAAAGAAATAGGAAAACATTCCATGCTTGTGGATTAGAAGAACAAATATTTTTTAAATGTCTATACTACCTAAAGGAATCTACACATTCAATGCAATCCCTATCAAAATAGCACCAGCATTCTTCACAAGTCTAGAACAAACAATTCTAAAATTTGTATGGGATCAGAAAAGACCTTGAATAGCTAAAGTAATGTTGAAAAGGAAAAACAAAGCTGGAGGCATCACAATTCTGGACTCAGGGCTGTATTACAAAGCTGTAATCATTAGGAAAGTACGGTATTGGGACAAAAACAGACAAGGGAACACTTTCTTACACCAGACACAAAAATGAATTCAAAATGGATGAAAGACCTAAATGTAAGATAGAAAACCATCAAAATCCTAGAGGACAAAACAGGCAGCAACCTCTTTGATCCTGGCCACAGCAACTTCCTACTAGACATGTCTCCAGAATCACTTCTTGGCCTTTTGGCTGAGATCAAGTATAGACATTCTCTGGAGGCAAGGGAAACAAAAGCAGATAATGAACTAGTGGGACCTCATCGAGGTAAAAAGCTTCTGCACAGCGACAAAAGCAATCATCAAAACTAAGAGACAGCCTTCCTAATGGAAGAAATATTTGTAAATGACACAACTGATAAATTGTTGGTATCCAAAATCTATAAAGAACTTATCAACATCAACACCCAAAAACAAATAATCCAGTGAAGAAACAAGACAGAACACATGAATAGACACTTTTCTGAAAAAGACATGCAGATGGCTAAAGACACATGAAAAGATGCTCAATATCACTCATCATCATTTGAAATACAAATCAAAAACACAAGGAGATGCGACCTCACACCTGTCAGAAGGGCTAAAATTAGCAACTCAAGAAACAACAGATGTTAGTGAGGATGTGGAGAAAGGGGAACACTTTTGCACTATTGGTAAGAATGCAAAGTAGTACAGCCACTCTGAAAAATAGTGGGGTTTTTTAAGGTTCCTTAAAAAATTAAAAATAAAGCTTCCCTATGGCCCAATTATTGCACTACTAGATATTTATCCAAAGGATACAAAAATGCTGATTTGAAGGGACACATGCATCGAATGTTGACAGCAGCACTATAGACAAGAGTCAAATTGTGGAAAGAGTCCAAGTGTCCATCGACTGATGAATGGATAAAAAAAAAAAAAAAAGGTGGTATACATATACAATAGAATATTACCTGGTGATCAAAAATAATGAAATCTTTCCATTTGCAACAACAAGTGGTAGTAGAATGTATTATGTTAAGTGAAATAAGTCAGCCAGAGGGAAGACAAACATCATGATTTTCACTTATAGATGGAATTTAAGAAATAAAACAGATAAACACAGGGGAAGAGAAGGAAAAATAAAAAAAGATAAAAACAGAGAGAGAGGCAAATCACAAGAGACTCTTAAATACAGGTTCTACTCCTGAAACCAATACTACACTGCATGTTAACTAACTTGAATTTAAATTAATAAATTTTAAAATAAATAAAATAACTGTAGAAAAAATAAAATGGGGAGGAAGGGAAGGAAATAGAATTAGTCAAAAATGTCTGGCTTTAAAATAAAGGATAATCTTGTTTAGAAAAACATATCAATAATAATTTACTTGAGTCAAAAACCAAAGTTAGAAGAAACAAGAAAATTTTATTTCTCTTAATTTCATCTTTGCATTTATGGTAATAATTTGCTATTAATGTTAAAGGATTATGAAGTACAAAGGTTTTAGATTGTTTCTTGTAGTTAAAGTCTATTGATGAAGCCATATACATATGAGTGCACATGGATGATAATATTCATATTTGTAATATTTTGATTTCTGAATATTCTCCAGTTTGCTTTATTTTTGTAGACACAATGAAAAATCTGACTTCTAATCAATTAAATTTATGAAAATAATATATAAATTGAAGGAGTGGTATAACTCACCTTTTCATTCATTCATTCATTTGGTCTACACTTGGCCAAAGGGGGTTAAATATTTGCCCAATAGAGGGGTGCCTGGGTGGCTCAGTTGGTTAAGCGTCCGACTTCGGCTCAGGTCATGATCTCACAGTTCATGGGTTCGAGCCCTACATCGGGCTCTGTGCTGACTGCCAGCTCAGAGTCTGGAGCCTGTTTCCGATTCTGTGTCTCCCTCTCTCTCTGACCCTACTCTGCTCACGCTGTCTCTCTCTCTCTCTCTCAGAAATAAATAAAACATTAAAAAAAAATTTAAAAATATTTGGCCAGTAGAAAGACTGCCTTCAGTAAGTTCACAAATAATTAAAAGAGACACAAACAAACAAACATACATACATACATACAAATAAAATGCAGAGGAAAAAGGCTTTCATCCAAAACAAGGGGTAAAGATATCACAGAAGTTTTCCTAAAGAAATTGGCATATGAACTAAATCCCAAAAGATGAGTAAGCCTTAACTCAGTGATGGAGTTTGCTGAGAGAGTTCCCCACCTAGAGATCAGCAGGTGAACACCTCAGAGGAAGGAAAGTGCAGGGCAGGTGAGAAGTAAGGTTGGGGTGCTGAGTGTAAACAAGAGAATAAGAAACAGAGGCAGAGAATGTGTTTTGTAGGACTAAGAGCTTAGATTGTACCTTGGGAGCAAATAGGAGCAATTTTATTGTCAGAAGTGATATGAACAAAATTGTGTTTTAAAGAGATTACTCTGACTGATGAGGAGAATGGGATGAAGGCAACAAAATGGGGCCATTAAGAGCTCTAGCAGCCACCTGACTCAGCATTGGTGAAAGCCCAAACCAAAGCAGCAGCAGTGCAGAACAAGAGGGAACTAAGAAAATCATAAGAAAAGAACAAGTAAGACTGAGAGTAGGACAGACAAGGGTCTGGGAGGAAGCCCAGATCTCTAGCTCCAAGGGGAAATGCAAACAGAGGGCATTAAGTTTAATTTTGAGTAAAACAATATTTTTAAAAATTTTCTAAAACTACTTTGTGAAAAAGTTAAAATATATTCAAATGGTAGGAGTCTACTAATAAATTACTCCTTATACATACCCATTTAAAAAAAGACTTCATGTGGAGAGAAAACATGCATAAGAGAATTTAGGAAACCCGTCATAAATAATATGGCATATCACTTTCCAGAGTTACTGAGTAACCAAAATCATTCTTTTTTTTTAACCATGAAATATATAAGCTTTTTGAAATAAAGAATTAGGGGTATAATTTATATAAACAACCCACAGAATTGCACATATCCTTTATGTGAAATCAAATCCTATGCTAAAGCATGCTAAATCATTTCTGATTATTTAAGTTATTTCTTTCCATGAGAGTCCAAAGAAAAACAGAATATACATAATCAAGTTCAGTTATTAAATCCATGAAGAAAAATGTGATGTAACATTTGTGTACTAGAATCCTTGAAAAAATATTAAACACTCTATGTAAGAAAAATTTTATCAATATGATAAAAGAATGAATGACCCTCAAAGTATATTACATACACGAAATGGATACTTGCAGAAAAAAAATCCAATATCTATTATAGTTAAGAAATAAACATGGTATGACTGTTTCTTTAATCTAAAATCATCATACATATTTAGTAGCTAATGTACCATTTATTCACATTTTAAATAAGATAAACATTATTACCTCAGCCAGAAGAATCTTTAATAAAAACCATGTATTTATAATTTTGGTATAAAGTATAAACAATAAAGGAGAAAATATTTTTAGACAGAGTAGTTCACTCCAGATGTTACCAAGGTAACTAAATTCCACAGCTTTACATATTTCATTCCTGAGTAAATCGCTATGTTTTATAAAGAACAAATGAATGTTTACTTATTTGTACATAATACATATTCACACATTTTATCATTTAAATGGTAAAAGAAACAGAATGTCACATGCCACTATTTTATCAATCAAAATTTAAAACAAAGTTTTTGATGTCTGTATTAGAAAAATTCAGTAGAAAGAGTGTGCAGACATTAAACTGAAACTAAATGAAGCATTTTTTATTGTCTGGGTTCTCATAACCACGTTAATGATTTTTATATTCTCTTCCTTGAAGATACTTTTCCAGAATTTGAAACCACAAATCTCAGACTCCTATTTATTGTAACCGACTCACAGCAGTTTATTGCTCTCAAGGGGAAATCTGCTTCCTTACCCAACATAGTTTGCTCCATCCTAAGTGGCTGCTGGCATGGGGGTCCAGAGCTG